AGATGAGATGAGATGAGATGAGATGAGATAAGATGAGATAAGATGAGATAAGATGAGATGAGATGAGATTAATTGAGATGAGATGAAATAAGACGAGTTGAGTTGAGATTACTTATTTATATGTTCTTTTTTTAGACTATATTTGAAGTAAATTGAATTGATTTTTATAGAAGATATTTGTCCGAATGATATATTTGACATGATTTGAGATGATAATTAATGTTATCTGCCGAAATGAATTCTGATGTATTTCGATTATCCGTATTCTAATGAGATTTGCTGAATTAATTTAAATAAGATTTTTTAATCTTTATTTCCCAATCTTTCTTGATTTTTTTCTTTTTTTTCTCTTTATTTCCAAAATCCTGGTTAACTTGTGCATCTGCAATTTTTATTTTATTCTCTCTCATTGTTGCATTTATTTTTATTTTATATTTCTTTCTCTTGAATTGTATAATTTCTCTTAGAAATCTTGCGTCTATGCCTTCACACCACCGTACCTGGCTATCTAAACCGAGCGTTAACAGCATGAGAAAGAAGAGACCGGACCAGAGTGGGCTGAGTGGCATGGTACTTAGTGACTTTGGATAGACAACGAAGGCCAATCCGGGCCCCGAATCGGCTACGTGGTCAATCGGTGTGCCTGTCAACCTGGCCATGTAACCAATAGTGGCGAAGACCACAGTGCCCCCCAGAAGGCTTGTGAACGAGTTGATCACCGCGAACAGCACGCAATCTCTAATTTGTGAAAGATATTTGCATATGATATATATTGTTGTTTGGATGGAAGGTCGATTGTTAGTGGGACAGGTGGTCAGAATCTTATTGAAACAGATAAAAGCTAGAAAGTATAAACTGGTATGGGAAGGATATTTGAAAGCCAGCCCTGTAAATTACTATATCCCAATAAATTGATTTTATCATTTATTCATCAAAGAAGTATGGATATTCACTTATTATATATATATATATATATATATATGTATATATTTATTTATTTATTTATACGAAAGTCTATATTTACGTGTATGAGATATATTGAAGTTCATTATAGCCTTGCTTCCCCAAAGGTTGTTATCATCCAGGGTTGACTACAGTTTCGACCCTTAGCGGGAGTCGAACCGTGACAGGGCAGCGAGGTCGAGACTGCAGTCCACCCTGGATGAGAACAACTTTTCGGAAAGCAAGGATCTGTAAAACTCTATGGAAACGTCAGCTCTTCTCATATCATTGTGGGAGAATTTGACTACCAGTCCTTCATCACCTTAAACGAAATAGTGGGAATACATCTCATATAATTGATTCACTGGTAGTCTCAAAAGTCTAATTATATAAAAAAAATATATTAGAATATGTTGGTTTTTCAAATTTATAATGAATATATACTAGAAAATTTCCGTATATCAAAAATATTTATAACAAAATTTTGGAAGGAACAAACAATTTAATTATTTTTCGTAAATAACAAGACCAAGATGTTCTAATTAGAGTGAGTATATAGTTGATAGAGAGGGTTTAGGACAAAAAGAGGGGCGATAGCATAACCGTCTCGGCAGAAAGTTTATCAAGGAAGATTAATTTCATTCGTCTCTTTGGCGAGTTGTAGTTTGGTACTGAGAATGGCAAAAGTGACTGGTGATGCTGTCTACGATGCCGGCGAAACTTCTGAAAATGTACCAAATCTACGGTCCGACGCTTGGAAATATGGTGACTATTATAGCAGAGGACTTCGGACAAGGCAACCTGATAACACGACTATGTTGCGAAAAAGGAAGGACAGCAGTTTTGTTCTTGACCAGGTCTTATCAACACTCTCAGTGGGACTCGAACCATGACAGGGTAAGCACTACTTTTTTCGACCTAAGTAGTACGGTGCTATGCACGGAAATGTAGTCCCCGAACCTGCCATTTTTGTCCGGAAAGCTGGTTCGGGGGAGAAAGGAGGACAAGCCATCTTTCGCGTTTTGCACTATCTCCTTGAGAACTAGATTGGTGGGTCAAAGCTGGCTCGATTTGGCCAGATCAGTTTGGCGCGCAATCACTTTTAGATCGTTCTACAAAGTTTATCGAGGCGAATATCTTTTCAGCAGATACAACCATTATGAAGGCAGAAACAATGTCTCACCTGAATGAGTTGTGATGGAATTTGTTATAGCTGCCGAGAGCAGTCAAGGTTCCAAGGCTAAGGGAGTAGGAGAAGAAAATTTGTGTTCCCGCGTCTAGCCAGACCTGGTACCATCGAAATCCGGTTGAGGTTGACCAGGTCAATTTGGAGAGGATGGAGCAAAATGGCAAATTGTTGGGGGAATTATCGAGAAGGATAAGCTTACAATCAAGTCGGAATCATGTTTTTTGAGTCAGCACGTTATAATTGACGCCCGAGGCGCATCAGTTCCGACTGGTACGGATGGCGGGTCTGCCAGCGGGGAAATTAAGGGGAACTTGTTCAGTTTTTAGTTATTTTCTCTCTAAACTGCAACCCCAAAGATAGTTCTTATCTGCAGGCTGAGCGGCAACTTCGATTTGGCCTCAGCCGAACCCGTAAATGGAAACAGAACAAGTTACAGATAAACCTACAACGAAATTGTATGATTTGCCCTTTAAACTTTAGCTTTGCTTGACAATTATGGCAAACATCAAGTCTTACCTCCAACCGCTTTTAAAAGGATCCAAACAAGATATAATTCGGGCTGACGAATTCCAGCGCCTTGAAATCTTCTAATCATAACTTCTCATGTCAAGCCGTATTTTCGAGGCGGAGACGAAGCCCATTTTAATGCTCTTCATCCATAACAATCCGAGGCTTGGCTGCATTAGGCCTCCGTGAGGTGGCATTTATGAAAGCCTCGATCTGGCAGATTGCTATGGCTTTTAGAGCGCTGGTTTGTAGGCATCCTCGAAAAGAATAGCAAGATTCAGGCTCTTCCCTTCTGGTAGACGAATTGTGGGAATCAGCCAAGTTTGAGACATCAACGTATCTTAAATCAAACACGTACCTGAGCGTTTCCTCCACCTCGGTTGCCGAGTGCCTGGAATCTGTTTGTCTCTGTCTCTGTGTCGTTTAGCAAGACTGTTTGATTATGTTCGTCTCCACAGACACACAATTAAGACGAATGGGATTAACTCCAGCAAATATGATGAGTAGCTGGATTTCAAAAATCCCGTAGAAGATTGATACTAGCATACCTTTCATTCGTAAATTGGCCTCTCAGGATACCGAAATTGGGTTGTCTTGACTTGTGGCTAATGGAGTGTGCAAATAAGACCTCGGCTCAGGGTCGTGCGACCCTGACGACAATGTACTGAGCTTTCGTCCGTCATGTGTCGGATATGGTCAGAGCCAGAAACTATCATTTACAAACAATAAACAAAAGCACTAAATCAGGAAACGTAGTCAGCTGAAATTCGACAGATATCTTATACCCAAATCTTGGAGAACCGTTCATTTAGCTTGAAGAGGCGAGTGGAAGGGATTCGTAAGTTGCTTCCACCGGAGGCTGGTGGGGTTGCCTCGGAGCTGTGGTTGTAGATTTGTACAAATAGGTCCTCGGCGCACTGCCCTACGACCCCGATGAATACTTGCTGACCTTTCGCACGTCATGTGACGGAAATCGTCAGAGCAGGACACCATGTTTGACGATGATTCACCAAAGCACAAAGGCTTCAAACCCACCTCCTTCTTATATTCCAATTTGGTCCGCTTTGGCATCTCATGTTTTGGTTGTATGTCCTATGCTTTTCCTCTATCTTTGCTCACAAGACGTGTGAAGTGGCTACAGATGAAGCGTGAAATGGATGCTGCATCCTCCCCTAAAACACATATGCCTTTGACCCTGAAATGCTACCGCATGTGATTGCGTCCCATTTCACACGTGTTGTGTGACTGCGTTGCTCTTCACATGAGTGTGATGTT